TCGATATTTCTCTGTGTCTTCCTTTCCTGATCTCCAAAATTCAAGGGGAAAATATCCTTGGGTAAGGATTCAAAACAAAACAGAAAAAAATTAAAAAAAAAAAACCATCCTGCCAGGCCCATGTGGCTTGGTGATTAAGTGCTGACCTATAAACCAGGAAGTCATGGTGCAATTCTCAGTCAGGGCATATACCTGGGTCAGGGACTGATTCCCCAGAGGGGGGCATCCAGCAAGCAGCTGATCACTGATTCTCTCACGTCATTGATGCTTCTATGTTACTCTCTCTCCCTTTTTCTCTGAAATCAATTAAAATAAAATAAAATGAAATAAAAAATACACTGCTGCCTGGCTGGTGTGGCTCATTGAGTGAGTGTCAACCCATGAACCAGGAGGTCACAATTCAATTCCCCATCAGGGCACATGGCTGGGTTGGGAGCTCAATCCCCAATGGGGGGCAGGCAGCAGGCAGGCAATGAATGATTCTCTTATTGATGTTTCTATCTCTCTTTTTCTCTCTCTGAAATCAATGAAGACTTTTTTTTTTAATAAAACACTCCTAAGTTTCTGAAAATTATTGACATGTTTCAAAAACTATTTATCCATGGAAGCATAATGATACATTTAATGAAGAAACCACCAAACTGATTGCATTTAAATATTATCTGTGCATTATAAATCACTAAATTCTGTAAATGACTTATTGAAAGTTTAATCCAAGACTACATTGTAAATAATTTTTATAATTATTTACAGGATGGATTATGTGAGATTCTAGATTTTCCCTATTTACGTTCCAAGAATGTATAAGATAAAAAAAAATTGTACTTGGTTTTCACATTTAGAAAAATTTCACATTTATTTCACATTGATCTACAGCTATAACTAATGGAAATTAGGAGTATTATCAAATGTGTGATATCTTTGACTTCCTTAAATAACAAGAATATTATTATGAATAACTGTCCCAGGTTACTTTTGGCAATATTAACATACTTTCTTCTCATCTTACACTCTTCCTCTAATTCCAAGGCTTTCACTAAATGTACATTATCAAAGCCATACCTTCCATTATCTTACCAGTATTATTTTAGGGAATAAATCTTCCATTTCTGCCTTTTGTAGCATGGCCTGTTTGTCTTCAGATAAGGTAGCTGGAAGATATGATACAAAGTTTCACAGTTATGATAGTAAACTTACTAGCAATTACTGACCAAATTACTTTTTTAAAAAATATACAACCCTCGCCAGCTTGGCTCAGTGGATAAAGCATCAGTCTGCAGACTGAGGGGTCCCAGGTTTGACCCAGACCAAGGGCACATGCCTGGGTTGCGGGCTTGATCCCCAGTAGGGGGTGTGCAGGAGGCAGCCGATCAATGATTCTCTCTCATCATTGATGTTTCTATCTCTCTATCTTTCTCCCTTCCTCTCTGAAATCAATAAAGAAATCTATTTTTTTTAAAAAAATACACACACACACACACACATATCACAGCCGGCGTATCTCAATGGTTCAGCATCGACCTATGAACCAGGAGGTCATGGTTCGATTCCCAGTCAGGGCATATGCCCAGGTTGTGCGCTTAATCCCCAGTGTGGCAGCAATCAATGATTCTCTCTCATCACTGATGTTTCAATGATGAGAGAGAATATATATTGCATATATTCTTTATATATGCAATAAAGAATACGCATATATATATGCAATAAGTATATGCATATTCTTTACTGATTTCGAAGAGGAAGGGAGAAAGAGAGATAGAAGCATCAATGATGAGAATCATTGACCAGCAATCCAGATGTGTGCTTTTGACAAGGAAAGGAACCTTTGGGCCTTTGGTGGGCAGTCAGAAACTCTAGGCTGAAGTTCTAACTCAAAGCACACTGAACAAGGCATCATTGGTTGCTTCTTGTATTCGTTCTAAAGGGGATCAAACCCACAACATTGGTGGACAGGGTTAACACTCTTAAGCAATAGAGAACCCCAGCCATGGACCAAAGTGCTCTTTCATTTTAACTGAAATGATGACAAAGACTTGCTTAGAGACAGCAAGACCTATTTACTAGAAAATGGACCATGAGTTTTGATAGAGATTCTCACATTTCAAATCCAGTTTGTCCTCTGGTCAGAAGACATGGTAGAATGTTAGAATATTCTAGAAAACTAGAGGCCCGGTGTACGAAATTTGTGCATGGGTAGGGTCCCTAGGCCTGGCCAGCAATCAGGGCCAATCTGTGGAGCAACCGGCAGGGTGATCAGGGGCACCCCCCGTTGGCACCCGCCTTAGCTGGCCTGGGGCCTGCTGGCTGGGGGCAGCTCCTGCGTTGAGTGTCTGTCCCCTGGTGGTTACTGTGCATCATAGTGACTGTTCATTCCGCCATTCTGTCGATTTGCATGTTAGGATTTTATTATATAGGATTATATTCTAATATACTGTTTTCAGATAGTACCTAAATTAGTCTAGACCAGTGGTCGGCAAACTGCGGCTCGGCACACCGCGGCTCACAAGCCACATGTGGCTCTTTGGCCCCTTCAGTGTGGCTCTTCCACAAAATACTGGCTCTTCCACAAAATATCGACTTCTGCACATGGGCCACGAAGTTTCAATCACACTGTACATGCATGCCCGCACGTGGTATTTTGTGGAAGAGCCACACTCAAGGGGCCAAAGAGCCACATGTGGCTCGTGAGCCGCGGTTTGCCGACCATGGGTCTAGACAACATGTAAAAATTTCAAACACTTATTTCCTACTTCACATGCATCACAAATCTTTTCTTTTGTGCCATAAAACCCCCAGTTTGTACCTTGAGAGCAAGAATCAGAAAATCTACCATAGAAAGCAGAATTCCCCATAGATGTTAAAATAATAAAGAAAACAAAACTATGTGGGTGGAGTAGGGACTCAGAAAGGAAGTTATCCTCACCCAGGGAGACCAGGTTGCTGTAGTTCTCTAACATCACATCCATGTACAATTTCTGTTGAACTGGGTCCAGGCATTCCCACTCCTCCTGAGAGAAATCTATGGCCACATCTCTGAAGGACAACTGTCCCTGAAAAAGACACATTTACCAAGAGGTCACCAGAAGAGTTCATAATGTCACCCAACACGAAAACAGTGTTAGGAGAAGTTGTTTTGACCTAGGAGAGAATCCTGATTTACCCAATAAGATCACTTTGACCCAGTAACATTCTCTGATTTGTTTTCTAACACTGACAAATGTGGATGACACATGTCCACAAATTCACTGCAGAGGTTTTATTTTTCAGGAAAATAAACTTTAAAATTAAGGCATTAACACAGGCATAGGGATTTCTGAGAGCTGTATTTGAATCGTTCAGGGTCAGTGGTGTATATTTCTCAGCTGGAGATGTCAGGGTGAGATGGAAGTGTAAGCACTTCTTCAAGGGCAACACAAATGACAACAAACTGCACTTTTCTAAAAACACAGGTTCGGATCCAGGTTCTCAGATGGGGCCTGTGTTTCTACATGTGTAACAAGCTCACTTTTTACTGATGACGCCAATGTCTGTGGTCCATGTGCTATATTTCTGAATAGAACAGAACAGAAAAGAAAGGACAAAGTTCATACACAATTTTGAACTGAAAGAGTATTTTTATGGAATTTTAGTTCTCTTAAAATAGGAGACATTGGAACCATAATCCTATTTAGAATTTACTATGAGTAATTTTAGAACAAGATTATTCCGCCTTTGATATGAGAATATTCTGTGAAATATATAATAAAAAGTAAACCTTCAATTTTATCCCAAACTCAATCTACAATTAAAAAAACAAACCACAGGTTAATGCTCATAAAGAAACCTCATGAATATTCACAGCAGTTTCTGCAACTGAGAACAATAAAAACAGCTTAAGCAAATAAGAAAAAATATCTCAAATAATGCTACCATTTTATATAGAGACAGACACATATGTGAACTATGTACAATATAAAAGTGATAGAAAACAGAATTGTCAGGTCAGTGAAATCAAGATCATTTTGTGATTCCACTCCATAAATTTCATGAATCTATTTGTTAATGATACCCCTCATCTACAAAAATAAAAGCATAATGTGCTAATTAGACAGGATGTCCTCCAGGACAACCTTCCAAATGAAGCCGGGGCTGTGAGGGAAGTCTGGGTCCCGGGTGCCAGTGGCCAGAGGGAAGCCCGGGTCCCAGGTGCCAGAGGGAAGCCTGGGTCCTGGAGGGAAGCCGGTGACAGCAGCTGGGGAAAGGATGGCCTACTCTTGCATGAATTTCATGAATCAGGCCTCTAGTGTAGTATAAATACAATAAGGAGAGAAACTCACATAACGATGGAAAACAAATTAGATCTATTATTTCTTAGATACTCATTTATTTGGAAATTTTTGTGTATCGTTAGTTGACAACTATAATCATATAAATTTAACTGAATTGAAGATACATTAATATGATTTTTGTAAACTTTCCAAAAAATAAAAAAAAGTGATAATGTAGAGTATGTCCATGACATAAGTGTAGGATATAATGAAACCTGCCCTAGCCGGTTTGGCTCGGTGGACAGAGCGTCAGCCTGCGGACTGAAGGGTCCCGGGTTCGATTCCGGTCAAGGGCACATGCCTGAGTTGTGGGCTGGATCCCCAGTGGGGGATGTGCAAGAGGCAGCTGATGGTGATTCTCTCTCATCATTGATGTTTCTGTCTCTCCTTCTCCCTTCCTCACTGAAATCAATAAAAATATATTTGGGGGGGAAAAAAGAATATAATGAAAATTTACAGGAACAAGTCCTGATTGGTTAAAGCTCCCATGTCAAAAGCCAATGATCTGTAGGAAATAGAAGCAGAGCGTTTATTTTTCAAAGCAAACAGAGGTAAAAAGAAGAGGTGAGTTTCCAGATGAAATGTGATGGTTTTTGCACATCTCTCAATAAGTCCCTAGCAAGCCCTTGTTACTGATAAAGGGAGACTATTAACTCTACAGTGAGGGGAGCACCTCTGCCATGGTGGACTGGAACAATGGGTATTAGGTGACTGAGGCACACGGAAGGACAGGACATCACGGCTGTGACATCACTGGCAAAAATATATCAAGAAAAAAAATCATTATGTGAAAATGATCACAAACAACATTAATTTTTACAAGTGTCAATCCACGTATATCTCTCATATTCTGTAAGCTATTAGCACATTTTAATAGCAAGACTTTTGTACTAATCTAGTGAGCAGGTCTCTTCTATTTACTCCTCTTTTCAGATTTTTCTGAGTGATTCTGAGCTGTAAAATGTGCATTTTCTTACCCCTGATCTACAGAGCTGATGCTGCAGCCATTTGAACCTAAAAACTTCATTTCCCTTCTTCACCGATATTAGAGCCCCTGGCCCCATCCCAGTAGGGATGGTAGACATGGCTGCCTCCCAAGATTAATCTGTCAGAGAGGGATGTTTTCAGTAGTTGAAAGTCATTAAAGGTAGGAAATCTTCTTGACCTGGTGGAGCCTGCATAACATGAATGCACAGAAGGCATTGGGATAAAGGACAAAACTATATAAACTGTTGACCTTGACTATCGTAAGAAAAACAGTAATTAAATAAGGAAAAGAATATGAATAGCACGAACATCGAAAGTGGCAGGTTCTAAATCCAGAGATGTCAGAAAAAAAGCAAACATAGCCTGTGGCCCAGGACACATCTTTTACCTGACAAGCAGCCATTTGGTCCTGGTCCTGATCAGGGTCTGGGTTGTCGTCTCAGGCGAGGATATGTTGAGGAGTCACAGAATGTGCCTTCAAAGACGTCAGCTCAGCGTCTTAATCAGCTCACACGACACTCACAGTCAGAAGGACCTGGAAATGAGGAAAGGCCACCCCTCCTGTCCTTGGTCACAGGAGAGGGTGAGGAACAATGAGCTCCTACATGGAGACCACACTGTGAGTTTTTGAGTGTGTGTCTTCACGTGTCTCTCCTTCCAAAGACACCCACAAACTCCTACAGAAATGAGAACGTGAGCTGCTGTCCTGAACCCCCAAACGAAACAGAGCACCCCCTTACCTCCCCTGAACAAAGCCTGCTCCCCACTCTCACAAAGGCATCCTGCACCCCTCCTGCTAATTCTTGTCCTCAACTTCCAACCACCTGGAGGCACCTCAGTAACCAATGATGCCCCACTCAGAGCATCTGTCTAACTCCACAGGGGAAAGTGCACCTGCTGTCATTTCTTTTTTTAAAAAAATATATTTTTATTGATTTCAGACAGGAAAGAAGAGGGAGAGGAGATAGAAGCACCAATGAGAGAGTAGCATCGATCTAGAGGGGGATCAAGCCCGAAACCTGGGCATGTGCCCTGACTGGAAATCAAACCATGACCTCCTGGTTCCCAGGCCCATGCTCAATCACTGACCCTTCCCGCAAGGCCTGATGTCATTTCTTAAAACTCCTCAGGTGATCTGAGAAAAAGCCAAAGAATTTATCTCAGTATGTTTTTAAAACATAAATTAAGTATCAGACAGAGAAAAACTATATCCATGGAAGAGAAAATAAAAAACAACAAAAGGAAAAACACAACAAGAAACCTAGGCTTCTAATAGTCCTTGAAAAAGCATCCTGTGGTGATAGACTCAAGTCACCCCTTTCTTGCCATCCCAGGAAATGACAAGCAACCCATGCCCTACAGAGGAGTCTCTCCTCTCTGAGTGAATAAGGGTTGCAACTGGAATCAAATACTTATAAAATTCCCAAGCCTTATAAACTGGATTTATAATTCTCATTCAAATCTGTATGACTAAAACAATTCAGCTGTTAAATATATAAAGCCACAAGCCAGTATAGTAGGTCCTCGGGTTACGCTGGGGAGAAGAAACGCGTTTTTCGCCATAAGTCGGGACCCACGTACATAAGCACCTCCGTCACTCACATGGAGCACATACACAGCAGTAATGAAGTGAAACAGTAAAAAACTTTAAAAGAAAGATAACAATTCCTAACTTTTACTTGTGGTAAATAATAAAAAACATAAAGCACATATGTACATACATAAAAATGACGGAACTTTTTAAAAAATATATATTTTATTGATTTTTTACAGAGACGAAGGGAGAGGGATTGAGAGAGAGAAACATCGATGAGAGAGAAAAATCAGCTGCCTCCTGCACACTCCCCACTGGGGATGTGCCCGCAACCAAGGTACATGCTATTGACCGGAATCCAACCTGGGACCCTTCAGTCCGGAGGCCAATGCTCTATCCACTGAGCCAAACCGGTTAGGGCTTTTTTTTTTTTTAAATAAATAAATGGGAGATGGCATGTAACCACGAAAGGACATATTTCAAATGAGATATAACCCGAGGACTGTCTATATATCACCACTTAACCATCCACATCCCATCAGCTCACCACTCAACCAGATCAGGGTCCTCCTCCTTCCCACTACTATGCATTTCTCCCGGTCTGTGAGGCTCCATCTCCACACACGTCTGCCGTGTGGAGGGGAACAGCCACCTTGCCCTCCACAGCCGGTTCCGCGTCTGCCAGGAACTGCGCATGCGCCTCCCTGCGGGGTGGGCATGAACCTGAGCTGAGCGGCTCCGCGATGGGGGCGGGGCCGAGCCCGGCGGCCAGGCCTGTGCAGGGACAGAGGGAGGGAGGGCGGGGCAGGAGCGAGGGGACAGCCCGGGGTCCCTGCACCTACTTCCCATTGGTGACACAGCCTTTCCTGTCCAATGCCTTTGAATTAAGCGCATCATTACTCCTAATATTTGTAACACTGCTTTCCACAATTAACATTATGGGGGCCTTCCATGGATTCAGTTTTGGATAAGGTCTTTGCTACACACATTAAATCTGTAAGATTTCTCTTACATGTATATTGACTGATGGTTAGTAATGCTTAACTCTAGGTTAAATATATTGCCCAAATCATTATATTTTAACACCATCCCCAGTATGAATTTCTGATCCTATGTTCATCCTGCCTAAAGTCCTTCCAAATTCACTGTAATTTTTCTCTAATGAATAAAACTGTGATATTTATTTATCAATGAACAATAGATAAAAACTTTCTCATTTTTATTGCAAACCTGCTTTTCAACTAGGAAGGATTCTTTCCAGTTGTGAAAACCAGAAAACCATTTTAATAGATTTTTTAACTTGGTTACACTTCTGATATGTATCCTGTTTTAATCTCCATGGTTAACCCTAATGTAATTAAAAGCTTAATTCCAATTCTTTTATCAAATCATTCCATGCATTTGTTTCCCGAAGATATTTTATTACTAAAGGGAATACAGGAAATGACAACATTACACACAATGATATGATTGCTGCTGGAGGGCATTGGCAGAAAGCATTCAAGATCCTCATCATGGGAGGAAGATACAAATACTAAAGCATAATCACTCTTTTATTTTTTAAAAATATATATATATATTATTGATTTTTTACAGAAAGGGAGAGGGAGAGTTAGAAACATCAATGAGAGAGAAACATCCATCAGCTGCCTCCTGCACTC